TCCTCTCTGCAGATACTGAGTAGTGATCCAATACAGGGGTTGTCTTTTTGGTTAAACATAAAATTCATAGACTTTAGTGGTTGAGCTGAGTGGTTAGGCTTCATACCACATGACTGTAGATCCCCTGAGCAGCAAGTTCCCATTTCAGTTCCTGGCTGGCTTTGCTGCTTCTTATTCCCTACTCTCTTTTACCTACACTGTTCCTCTCTCAGGTGTTACTACCAAATAAATGCTCAAAATGCTCCAAACACAACACATCATATACTCATATATACACCATGTGGAACTCCTTGTGGTTATTTTCATCTGACCATTACTTCATGATTGCTTTGAATCTGCCATGTTTTGAGTCTAGGTGGTAGCTACACCTTTCAATTGAGAAATTGCATGAAACCTGCAGTGCAGAGTTTATGTCTCCCCCTGCTGGCAGTGAGAGTAATTACACAAACACAGTTGGAACTTGCTTGTGACATACTGTACACCTCACCTTTGATCTCTTTCTCCTTTACACTGTAATCCTTCCTGTTAATGCAGGGTTTCTTTTTTTTTATCTGAAGCATCAGAAACTTTTTTTGCTCACCTCTTAGTTTTTTCCACCAGGTCCTCAGTTTCTGTGGCCTGTCGTGTCTCCGTTGCTATGGTTGCTCCACTCTTCTGCTCTGGCAATCCAATCATTGCTAGTTAATGTAAAACACATTGCTAGACACCAGATTTAAAACTGTGGTACACTGAACTACAAAGAGATTTGACTGCCGCTGATGGGCTTAATCAGCACTGTGTGAACTCATCTGGTTTGAATATAACAGATGTTCATTTATACTTTTAAAAAAAACCACACTTGAGCTTTCAGTATCAGCCTGTGATGAGAGTCCCGTGTTTGTGTCTTTGCAGTGCAAAGAAGGAGGCTTCCCTCATGATCTCTGGTTGAGTGTGAGTGCTGAGAATGTGTCTGTCTACAAGAGAGGAGAGCCAAAGCCTCTGGAGACCTTCCCGTACGAGCACATCATCTTCTTTGGTGCTCCACAGCCTTGCACCTACAAGATCACTGTGGATGAGAGAGAAATGTTCTTTGAAACACCACAGGTACACTTTATTTTTAATTTTCCTGCTCCTATCCTTATTCCTGTAAGAGGAAGCTATTCTAAACACATGAGGTTGAAGATTTGAAAAGATTTTAAAGTAAATGTTCATGCAGAGAAAATAGTCACTTCATGTGTGCTATAAATTAAATCACTTTTAGGTGTGAACCCTTCATCTACATTGTTTTTTTAAAGGACATTCAGCAGTTTTGTCTGTACTTCAGCTGTAAATCATCCTGTATTGTTCCACTTTAACACACCCACCTTTGCTGATTGCATGTTTTTTTTCCCCCCATCTGTACATCGGCAGGTTGGAGAGATCACAAAGATCATGAAAGCCTACATAAACATGATTGTGAAGAAGCGCTGCAGCGTGAAATCCGTGTCCAGCTACGGAAGCAACTGGATCAGGTGATTTATCGGACAGGACACGATATGCTACCGAACACCTGAACACAAGCACGGAGAGAAGCTGCAGAGTTGAGGAGAGGAACGAATTCCTTCAACAGAGATTGCTTCTTGGGAGGTTTTGACTCACGATGTAGCAACAAGGGCAATCTCCATCCAGAACGATTCCTTCCTATAGAGACACAGCAATGTTTATTCTTAACCGTTTAGGGCAAATGTGGGAACGGTCTGCATCTTTACAGTTGTCCCTGATGTTGCTTCCCTCCATGCAGCCTCCAAATATGTTACTTGCTCTCATTTGTTACACTGGTCATTTCTTACTTGAAAAGTAATGCAGGTGTCATTTCATGGAGTTTGTTATTGACTGAGCTTCGGGCTCATTTTCCCCCAAAAAACTTTTTTTTATTTCTACAGAAGTGAATTTCTTTCAAAGCGAAATCTCAGACAAGTTATACGAAGGTGTCATTGTGGTAAACGTACACTGACTGAGCTGGCACCTTTACTTAAGTTGTTTTTCAATGGAATACTGCAGCCCATTATAATGAATGTTCTCCGAAATGGAGATTCCCTCAGGTTATTGCATAAAATAACTGTCATCTTCCCACAGAGATTAGCTCCCTCATCTTGCCTTATTTAAATAATGTAGCTATACGGGAGTGCAGATGTGGCCTTGCAGGAGCAGAATATGAATTGGTAGCTTCCATGGGAGCCCGTGTGCTACAAAAGCACGTCCCTAACTTAAGCAAAAAGAACAAAATAAGCCTTTTATAAGTCAGAGAAACAAACAAGGAAATTCAATGTGAATAACCACTGCATCACTGGAGATGTAAGGTCTATAAAAATGGCAGTCAAGGATTTTCTCAAAAGGCGCCGGTTGATTACTCGATTCATATGATCAACACTACCAGTCATAATATTTGTGCTTCTCTCCTAGAACGAGTCCTCTGTGTTGAGTTGATCCAATTTGTGAGCTGAGTGTGAGTCTTTCAAACATCCAAAATGTTGAAGTTGTAAAAAAGCAAGCATGAAAACGCCTTTTCAGTGCGTCTGTGACTAAAGAGTGTGTCTTTTTTTTTTTTTTTTGAGCGATGTCAGCAGTCATGTGAGGGCAGGGTATTTATCTATTGAAGTATCAATGAGGATAAGCTCAGAGAAGCGAACGGCGTGCTTGAAATGCATCCATGCGACTTGCTAGCGCTTTGTTTTTCTGTTACTTGTGCGTTCAGGGACACAAAAGATTCAGAAAGAGACCAGCTGTTCATTACTTCCTGTCGATTTGTCTCCGAGTTTTCATCGCTGTTGAAATATCTAAAGTCTGTTGCCCTCACCACCCAACTCGTTCAGTTCCTGTTATTGTCCCACTAACCCGCCGATTTTGTAAATGAACCCAAAGGAACCCAACCTATGCCAACCAACCTACAGTATAGTCCACGATAATAATATGATCTCAGCATAATGAGCTTAGTATTTACCTCACATTACATCACTGTCTTCCATTGCTCTCCAATCATTACTCACTTGGGCGCTCTGGTCAGCTGCCGGCGGCCAAACCAGAGACTGATCTTGCCATTATTGATGATGACTGTATTTCTGAGATTTCTGATTGTTTTGAAGAAGAAAAAAATCATAAAAATGTTTTGTATCAGAGTTTAAAGATGCTTTAATAAATTATTGTATTTCAAACGCTGTTGTTGTCTCTTCTTCTATCACGTACAGTGCAGTAAGTCCGTCTGAAGACAGTTTACCAACAACAAAATGCATCATAATGAGACAGTTAAAAGCAATGCTGGTTGAAACCCCAAAGCTGCTCGTATGTACTTCCAGTGACTCTCTTCTTTTTTGTGGATAATAGAAGAGCAACAAAATAGATGATGAAATTAATATAAGTTGTGCTACTCCTTACTTTACACCTACAGAGTGCTTTACTGTGTCCGAGGTCACATCATGCAACAGTTACAGCCTCTAAACATCATTGATAGATGCAGTTTGGTGTTCGCTTATGATCCACACAGCATGCAACAAAACTACAAACACCCCTGTGCAAAAAGCAACTAACATTAGATTCGAACAAATAATGTTGATAAAGTTTTCAGGTTTCTTTCTTTATTTCCAGCAAGCAGTCAGCAACAGTCATCTGTTAGGTGACATACAGCCAATAATCCAGGATTTCTGCAATAATTTGTTGATGAAAGTGAAGAAGTTGTTACAGAAATGTTCCAAAAGTCTTCCTGTTACTGCCTTATAATGTCATACTTCTTGTTTCTTCAAACTGTTTAATTAATACGGAGAAAATTAAGAAGAAATCAACTAATTCTAGCTTGTATATGTAGTCAGTAAAGTGGCACAAAAGCACGAACGGACATTATACAAAAATGACTTCATAGCATGTAAGACAACATTACAGAATATGTACTATATTGTACACTCCATTTCCAACCAGTCCACGGTGGGTACATGTAAAGTGCTTGCAGGTGTTAACACACACATGACATAGCAACAGGCATTTATAAATGGTGATAAAGACTTTTGCTGATACAAGTGCATCAGCCAATTAGGACATTTTGCCTGGAATATTCTGACGATGTTTTGGGGATGTTGTTGAGGCAACAACTCTTCCATGAAACATTCCTAAGGATGTTCTCAATGCAACATTCAGCAAATGTTTTAGGAAAAGTCTTTAGAGAACTTTATCCTGCCTTTATGAAGAACATTCAGGGAACTAAAAAAATAACTAATAAGCAATACTTGAACTTGCCAGAACTTTCTCAGAATGTTTCTAGAACAAAGAAATAAAAAAAAAAGTGACATTTCACATAGGAAAGGTGGAGACTGAGTTACTGCTGGGTGTCATGAGTGAGTGAGTGATCATTATTTATTTGCTGATTGTTTTTTTGTGTGTGTTATTAACCTCTTAAGAATAGAGCTCTTGTTTGATATGATTTTTTTTTTTTTATCTTTATCTATTTGATCAGATCAAATAGCAAAGAGAAACAAAAAGGAAATTAAAAATAGATTTGTAAAAAAATATAAAAATTATTTTAAAAAATCAAAATACAAATAAATAACATAATAATAATAATAATAATAATAATGATGATAATAATAATAATAATAATAATAAGGTAATTGCTTTTAAATAATTGTTTATTATTGTTATTATTATTATTATTATTATTATTATTATTATTATAAACAAGTAAAAACAATTAACTACCGTGGTCATATAACCCAAGATGTGATGTCCATGTGGACGCCAGGTCTTAAGAGGTTAATATGAATCAACTCGTGAATACCAATCAACTGGTGGAGCAAACATGTGCGTTTAGAATGTTATAAAGTGAAGATAAGTGCATTGATCTGTCGCCGTCCATCAGTGTATTTCCTTTATCTTTATTTTCTGTCAGTACTAACAGATGATTGTCATGAAGATGTCTCACTCTGCAGCTTTCTCATGACTCCGGCGTCAGGAGCTCCTGACGTCACCCCTCGTAACCCAAAGGTCCAGCCTTCACTCGGTCTCATTACAAACTTCTCCTCCACGCAGCCGTGGGGCTTTCACTCGTGTCACCATGTCCAGAGTTTCCACATTTATCGTCTCTGTTTTTGCCCTCATCTTGTGCGCTGTTATCGTCGCTACAGAGGCGCAGTCCACCACTCCTGCTCCGGCTCCGGGTGAGACTTCTGCTTTTCTTTTCTTTTCTTTTCTTTTAGCTGCTGAGTTTTGAGTCCGATCAGGAGGCTGTCACATGACATCAGCCAAATGGATTTACTGTAATTACAGAGGCACAGAGAATCACTCGCGTCTCGCCTGTTTGTTTCCTAAATAGACTTTTGTTGTGTTCCCAGTAAACAGACTTTAGTTTCTCTCTTGTCCTTGTCACTCACTGTCAGCTCTGTTGTTGTTGTGAGCATCTCTAATGACTGTGGGCAAACTTTTCCTCAAGATTGCATTACTTCATTTCTTCTTCACTCTTGTTTGTTTTCAGTACCTTGTGCTGCCAGATCCAACACCAGTTGCTCTGAATGCCTGCAGAATGTCACAGTGAGTCTCCAGCAGTGCAACAGAATTCACTTACTGCAGCTGTTCAGCTCAGTGTTCTTAGTGATGTGCTGCCATAAATACCAAAGATAAGAACTTCTGGGCTGTATTTGTTGCAGTGTCTGTGGTGCATACCGACCGAGCAATGCGTCGACTACCCGGTGAGGAACATCCTGCCCCCCAACAGTGTCTGTCCGCTGAATGATGCACGATGGGGGCTGTGCTGGGGTAAGACTGGAGAACAATAACCGCTAAAGCCAAACCCAGCATGTGTTGGTATGTGAGATGAATGTGGAGTAAAAATGAAGTTGCAGCTGGTATCATAATCAATTAGTTTATTCTGTAGTGACAGCTTCTCAGTTGTGGTGATTGTCTTAGTTTGAGATTGTGAGTTTCACATTTATCTCCACTTTAGAGGTCAAACAAATCAAATTATTTTAAAGGAATCATTAGTTTTAAGGCATTCCTAACAAACAGAAAGCCATAGTTTAGTCATAAGCCTAAAACTTGATAATATTCTTGCATTTTCAACCTCTAAATGAGTGATATTTCTCAGTAAACCAGAATTCCAACCACCAAGTAGTTCACTAAAGGGGACAGCCATCCCTCTGTGTAATTTCCAGTGCCATTGGTGCATCTGAAACTAACGATTAGTTGAATATTTTTAACCATTTCTCTGTGTCTCCGCCTTTGATTCCCAGTCAACTTCCAGATATTGATCATCACCATGTCGGTGCTGGCCGGTATCATCATCATCGCCATTCTGGTTTGCTGCTTCTGCTGCTGCAAGTGTGAACGAATCGGGTGAGCATTAAGTCACACTGAGTGCTGGCTGTGAAATCTGGTTCAGCATGGGAGCAGCAGGAGGAGGAGGAGGAGGGACACAATGGGTTGTTATTCTGTCAGGCTAGGCTGATACCGCTATCTCCAGAAGCCTGCCAGAATTTGTGGCAGTATCTTTGCTCTTTCTATTAGGAGGATGGACTCCGGCATCTTAAACATTGAATAATAACGTCAGTGTTAGAAGATAAGCAACATGCTGAGGACGTGGGATAAACATTTTCCATCAGCAGAAAATATTCAGATTTTTTCTAATATTGTATTGGAGCACACTTGACATCCAGGTGACAAATGATCTTTCTTAAAGCAGCACTATGAAATCCAACTTTAAAAGACTACTGGCTAATCAAAGACACACTTTTCAGTTTTTTACTAATTGGAAGTTTCTTTTTAAACTCAGTATCTTGAATATAAGGAAGGTCACCGCGCCCTGGTCTGACTCACTTCTTCCCCAAATCTGTCAGCGGAACAGAAAAGCAATCAGCTGCGTTTATCTGAAACTGTTCTCCTTCAGTAATATCAGCACTGTCAGCAGCAGACAATCATGACCTTAAAACTACAATTACTTATCATCATTAGAAAACAATTACGTAGATGAGTAAACGAGTAGGCAGCACTTACAAATCACACAAAATTCAGTTGAAGAATATACATAAATACTCCATTTTGCATGATTAATATATGACAGTGAATGTTGGTGTGAGTGCAGTTAATGTAGCTCTGTGTAGAAATTGGTAAAAAAAAATTGGATTGGAATTGGTAAGAAAGTGTCATAAGATAAGATAAGATGTGCCTTTATTTATCTCACAGTGGAGAAATTCAGATTGTTGTCAGCATCATTACACACAGAGATACAAATATACTAGACAGAAAAATGTACATATAAGAAATAGTGCAAACACAAGCATGAAGCACACATAAAAAGAGAAAAGTGCAAACAGAATATGAGAATGGGCTTCTGAATGGGGATACATAGAAAAGATATATATATATATCATGTCATCCATTGTGTATTGTCATATTTAGCTTAATCGTCTATATTTTATGTAACAGGCATAAGAAAACTCTCCGATGCTACTGTGCACCTTAATCTTATAATGTTAGTTAGAAGATATCACATCACTTTTTTTTTTCTGTCTCTCTGGAGTCCCGTCATAGATTTTATTGGAGAGGATTATGCTGAAGTTGTACAAAACTGTTTCGCAACTTTAGGATCCAAATGATCCTCAAAGGGTAAAGTTCATACATCTGTTAACATTTCATTGATATTGTAAAGACGATGGTCCACGTTTTCTTGTCTTTTTTTCATCTGCTGGTCTTGATGTTTGCCTGTAGCGGGAGTCCAGTGTCTGTTATGTGCCATTAATTGCGTACATAAAGGAAAAATAAAAACACTTAGAGGAAGGTTGTAACTAAGGCCTTTTTTGTGAAGAGGAGCCAGATTATTAAACTGCATTTAATGTCTGTCAGTTCACATCTCACTTTGTCTCTTGCAATGTAAGATTTTATGGACGGAAACATGAATATTGATACGAATGCAAATCCTCCTTTTGTAGGAACAGGAGGGAAGACGCTAAAGTGGAGCGACAAACCCGAGCGAGGAAGGCCCGTCAGAAAGCGAGGTGAATGGCTGTTGAGTAGGTGTCTGACAAGAGCCAATTAAACCCAGAAAAAGAAAAAAGTAATTCCTTCATAGTTTGTTACTGTCACTATAACAATACCCATCATCTAACAGAGGCGGGCGGCTGGGGGAGGGTCTCTCCTACACTACCACTATTCATTCATTAATTCACTCATTCATTATGGAGATTTTTTATTAAATGTGCATCGTTTTTGGCCTGGAACAGTTACAGAGAAATTTAAATATACAAAGCAGCGTGCCTTTTGTTTGACGAAAAAGTAAAAATTGGGTTTTCGGTAGATATTATCGCCACATCAAAGCGGTACTTTGTGTTGATCCTCAAGCCATAATTCAAACAGTGTAGGCGTGAGTGCTGCCAGTGTTCTCTGTTGTCTAACAATTTGTCTTTTGTTTGTGCCCCTCAGGAGAACAGAAATGCAGCTGAGGCATGATGAAATCAGACAGAAATATGGTGAGACTCATTTCTTGTTTGTGTAGTTTGAGTGGGTTAATAAATGTGCATTTGAAATATCAAAAGAGGGTTGTTTTGACAATGCTTAGTTTACATGCGCCGTGATCAGACGGCTGCAAAATGAATAGAAACTGTGACTCAAAACCAGCTGAGGACAGATAAGATACTTAAAATGGGATGAAGATAATGAAATGTTGGCTGAAGAAAAAAGGCACAACATTTAAAAAAAAAAAGGTCTTTATAAACTGAGAGAAATAAACCAAATGGGGGGGAAAACGTGATCTAGTAGTGCCATCTACTGGTTAAAATCTAAACTGTTCACCACAGATGAACTCAAATTAGACTTTCTTTATTGTCATTGCACAAAAACAAAACCGGAAATCTGGCAATGAAATGTCGTTGCTTGGCTACCAGAGTACACAGAAGAGCTTGTGAGGCAGATACTGTAAACATATAAATATATCTATATAAGAAAAACTACTGTAATGGAAACAGAGCTAAATCCAGTAGTTGTATTTACCTCAGTGATCCGTCATAAACTTGGATTTTGGAACTATGTTACTTGCCTTTAACCCGCATTTCAAAATGTACGCAAACATTTCAACTCATCTGAATAATTTACATTCCTCTCAGTGATATTGATGACAGTATTTTTTTTCTCCATTGTTCTTTTCAGGTCTGGCAAAGGATAATCCGTACGCCCGTATGGACGATCATTAGGAAGAATCTCAGCGACGGTTCCTTCAAATGATCTTATTGATGCCAGTAACAGCGAGACACAGCGTACAAATAGCTTCTGATAAACTGTGATTATCTGGATTGATTTCGATGCGACAGTGTTTGCAAAAAAAAAAAAACTTAAGACAACACGCAGCTCTCTTTGGTTTTCAGGATTAATATTTTTTTCAGCCTTAACTGGACTTTTAACCCGACATTGTTTTCTGTCCACACGCAAAACAACATCAGGATGAAGACATTGTCCACCATGACATGCAAACATTTAGTTTTATTTTGAACAAACAGTGCTTCTGATGCTTCTTTTATAACCAGCAGATTCACTTTTATACTACATTTGCAATGCACACTATTTTACTGTCATGGACGTCTAAAGATCAACATGTATTTCTTTTTTTATATAAATTGTTCATGTAACAAATTTTTACTTTTTTCCAGTTTTAGCTTTTGATAAATATCAGAATTAGTTTCATAACTGTGTTGGATAAAAGAAATGTGTGCACTGAAACTACGTGTGGATCGACTGAATTTTCTGTAGCCATTAAAAACAAGTGATCATCAATTTCAAAAAGCGAAGTTTTGTTTTTTCTTATTTTTTCACCAAATACTTCAGCCTATAATTGTAACTGAATTTCCAAATTCACATCCTCCACAATTTGTTATCCCCATCCTACACAAACACAGGTACAGAGGGCAGTTTCACACTTTCAGATAGAAAGAAGAAAAACACATAAAAACAAGAAATTGAGAAGTTAATAAACGGTAAAACCTACATTAAAATCAATATCATCAGTGTGTTTCCGCCTCATTGCTATTGTGGAAGCACTTTTCGAGCTGTTTCACACCCTTCATGTGAAGCAACCCTTCCTGAATCTGAAACTTTCAGTTCCTCACATTATTTTGTTGTTTAGTCATCATGGCTTTTTGGCCCAGTTCTTCAGTGACACAAACCTCTGACATGCTGCAGTCCTCTACAGGGTGCAAACCAGGGACATCCACAGCATCACTCTGACTCTTTGATTAAGAATAGTTGGATTTCAGGGCATGTCCACAGGGCAGGTCATTAAAAACAGTCTGGTCACATCTAATACATGACAGTGTATTTATTTTTTGTTTTTTTTCAACATACAGTGAAGGCTGTATGTTGCAAATGTAACTTCATAGAACACAAACCTGTTTTTTTTTAAGTCCTCTATTTGTGAATATAGCTGCAAGCGTACAGGCGTAGCTATATGAAACATTTGTATTATTTTATGAGGCTTACCCCCAAAATTATTTGACTTTGCAAGAGTTGCATGTGGACCTGGAGTATCAAGTTGACCATATAATATACCAGTTTTTTATTATAGTAAGATAAAAGCAAGCAGTGAATTAATTAACCACCTATTTGGTTCATTAGTTGGATGCAAAGCCTTTGAGGCCTGCACTAATGGGTTGCTCAGCAGAAGGGCCCTTTTGTTTGACCTATCTCGCGGGAGCGCGCAAATTATCTTACGCGCTCACGAATCCGCGACCCCGAGGAAAAGTGGAACACGTGACCGTTTTGGTCGAATTACATTTTAAATTTCGGTGCGCGCTCCTCCTCCAAACGAGAGAGCCGGAGGAGCTGGTAACCCGCTTCACCATCCACAGCCTGCCTCCACGTTACCAACAAACACCTGAGAACACCGCAGAATGTCTGAAGAAAAGCCAAAGGTCAGTACCGCGTTTGGACCGACGCACGCCTCGTTCGTGTCCACCTTTAGGCGCCAATGATGTCAGTTGCAAGTTAACGTTAGCCCGGCGTGCTAAGCTAGCCCTGCTCCCAGGCTACAGGCTCCCCATTTGAGCGGGGAGACGGAAACAAAGGTGGAACGATTTGCGGATATTTTGGCTTTAGGCGCACAGTTGTATGTCTGTATTTATTGTAGATAACCGATATCTGCTGTCACTATCCAACGATTTACCCTTCACTTAAACTGTGTTGGCTAATGTCGGCATCACAGATTGCCTGTGAAATGAATGATTTGTGTTTTTCTATCATTTGCGCCATTGTGGCTTTCTGCGCCAGTTTAACACTGGACTAGCTTGCGAAGCTAACCACTGGGAGAACCTAAAGGACTGTGTATGTTTGAGGTGTTTTGGATGGAGAACCCTGCCTCCACAGTGCGCTAATTACTCTGCTTAGGAGCTAACTTGAGTTAGCTGCTGTTGTATTTAACTAATTAATGCTACACTACCGGTTACCGGGCTTCTGCCAAAAAGTGATCGTCTGCAAAAAACTGATTGCCTTCCGTGGGAGCAATTATCCTCACGGCTCTGCTCTGTGTTACCTGCCCTGTGCGCTGGATTTTAATCAATCCAGTTGTTTTTACCGGGTGGATTAGATTTAAAGGACCAGTTCAGCTCATATAGTGCAGGTTTCCTCTTGCTAAAAAGTGACCCTACAATGAGACAGAAATATTATTGGTGCTTAAAAATTACTTGATTCCACTATTGAGAGATATTTCAAAGCTAATAGCCCATATGATATTAGAAAAACCAGATAATTTCCTTATTTCTTCTATAAAACCCATCCATAAATCATTTAAATAAAGTCTTTAGAAGGATATTAGATATACCAAACACATACAACCTAAACATCAGAAACAATCACTCTTATTCTGCCTATATTCAACATAAATGTCATGACATATTACACTTTAACCACACACAGTTATTTTGTCGTGATGATTCATTTACAAGAAATGTTAAAGTTTGATAAAAACACACTTTTGTGATTACCGCGGCCAAGCTTCTGTGCATTTCCAGGTTAGGACTGATCCAGATAACAGTAGCTGTAGATGGATTTAAACTGCTTGAATATGTAGCTCACAATCAGACTTTGGCAGACGAATTATTTTGATTTTTCTTTGGCACAGCACATGTGTGATGCTTCTGCTGATTTGTTGCAGGAGGGAGTGAAGACGGAGAACGACCACATTAACCTCAAGGTAGCTGGTCAGGATGGCTCGGTCGTACAGTTCAAAATCAAGAGGCACACTCCGCTCAGCAAACTAATGAAGGCGTACTGCGAAAGACAGGCAAGTTGAAATAGAAGCTACACATTCTCTGTGCTGATGGTGGACTTTTGAGCTCATTGTTAACATTATGATGGTGTTTGATTTGAGCTAATGTATATAATTTGTGTCTCGTTAACTGGATTCTTTTTCTGTTCTTCTACAGGGTTTGTCAATTCGTCAGATAAGGTTTAGGTTCGATGGACAGCCAATTAATGAAACAGACACACCTGCACAGGTTGGTGAAACACGACACAGTAGTGATTACATTTATGTGTTTGTGGAGTGCATAGTCCATCATGTTCCAAGTGGAATTAAACATGGCCATTCAGCTTTAATTCTGCTCTTAATTTAGAAATAACTTTTCAAACTACAAAACTCAGACTACACGCAACTAACAGATGACTTTGTTTCGCTCCCACACAAGGTGAACGTTGTCAGACCACATGAGTAAACAAATTCGACTGTAGGATTCATGTAAAGTTGATGTACTTGTGCGTAGTATATCTGAGTGGCTTACAATACTACGTGACAGCCTCAATCATGCATCTGTTGTTTGTCCTCCTTTATTGTGTTGATGTATACAGTAAAGCTGTCCTTATTTTGTAAATATACACATTCTGCTTGCCGTAAGAAGACCAGCATCTCGCTGTCAGTCATGCTGGTTGTTTGCCGTTGCGAGCGCTGGAATGCTGTGAAATGGACTTTGTTAAAAATAGAAATTTATGACCTCTGATGTAACTTGAGTTCAGCACGTAGCCGCATCGTAACTGCTGTTGACCTGTTAGGTTGCGAATGCATCATTAAAGACATCACTGGGTATACGGAGGCAGCTGCTTGCTCCAATCGACGACAAAATAAATGGTACAAATATGGTAGAATAATGGTATGAATAAGTCATGTTTGAATGAGGATAGTTTGGGACTATCTAATAGTACGATGATTTCAGTCTCACCGGAAAATCGAATGTACTTCCACTTTGATTTAGAGCCCACAACGTGCCAGATTTATTTGTATTTTTTTAAACTCTTGAGCTTAAAAGTTATCTTTCACCCTCCCCCTGTGGCTGTGGTCGCCGTTTTCATTTGTGCCCCTCTTGCACACGTTCAGCTAACGAAGCAACTGGTGATAAAGGAAACAGATGCTCGTGTCGTCATGTTAGATGTCATCTGTCAACCTCCATCGGCTTTTTTGTGGATCGGTGTATTTAAAACACACAAGTCTAAGAAGGTTAAACAGGTTTTATATGAAGTTAATTGTTTCAATCCTACTGCTGGTTATTTTATCCCACAATGCTTTGACTGCCTTCTTTGAGAAATATAATGTCTTGTCTTTTTTTAATTCAGCACTCAAAGCCATTTAAGAAATGTGCCTACATACACCAGCAGTCATGCTGATTTTTACATGCAAAACTAGCAGGAAGAAAAAAAAATCAAATGTACTTTCAGTAGCTGTCAGTTCTCTTCAGGTGGAACAATTTCAGTTGGTCCCAAACTATTAGTAGGACTTAATACAAACCCTGCTTAAAACGAACACAAACTAAACATTACAGAAAAAATGCTATTTGTTTTGTTTTCTTTTTTTTTTTTTTCTGTGCTCTGAGAATGAATAATGTGAGTTTTATTTTTCTTAATCGCAGCTGGAGATGGAGGATGAGGACACTATTGATGTATTTCAGCAACAGACAGGAGGAGTCCATTCTTAAGGGGGATGTTGCGTCTGGGAAGAACATCGACACCATTTTTTCTCATGTTGTATTTGTTTATTTCTGTTTCTCCTTAACACTTCATTTTCTTTTCTCTTTTCTTTCACTGTGCTTGGCTAAATGTAACGACGATTTACAACAAAACAAAGGTTTTCATTGCGGGCCAAATCTTGACTTTGAGATGCAGGGTAACTTTTTAAACATGTTTTATTCACATTAATGGATGATTCTGAAATTGTCCAAGGCAGGGAAACGTCTCAAATCAGATATGGTTTGTAATGAAAAAAAAAAAAACAACCTCCACCGTGGTCTTGTGATGTTGAGATGACCTCTTGCATGTCTCATTAATCATGAGCTGGATTACATGCCAATTTAATGTTTATTTTGTTTAAGTTTTCCAGATTGTTGTAAGCATTAAAAGTCACAACGGGCATAACGATTTTAAACCAGGATGCTGACGGTGGTTATCTGTCTACACATGGGAAAGACATTACAACATGTTTCTTATGTAACTTGTAGGTTTTTTTTTTTCTTTTTTCTTTTCAAAGGACCATTCGATATATTTTGAGGGGGTCCATGCCCAATTTACCTTCAACAATGCTTGTGCTTGGAAAGATCTATATGGATGATTTACCTCAATACTGTTACCCTCAAAGCAGATTTACCTGAATGGTTAATAAACTGTGGTAAGGTTTTTGGACCAAAAATCTTCCATGGAAATGGTTCTTTTATAAAAAAATGTTTGGTTAATATAAAAATGTAGATGTAAAGGTTGCTGTAACTCAGTGGTTGATATTATTAAACAGGGGGCCGAACATGTAAATTGACTTGTTTGTACCTTTTCAGGACTGTAGAAAAACACCTAATGTCTCCAGAAACAGCCTCATCTAAGGTTCAATATTTCAGTCGGTCTATACGTATACATGCTGTGTTGCCAATTTGAATAAGTTTGTAAAAAAATCTATCCAAGCATTCTCAACTTATTCTTTGTTTAATGCTTGTGTGTTGGTAGAAATTTTCTTGCATAAGAATGTCCACCTGCATTTTAAAAATTAACATTTTAGATTTTGCACGGCGACATTGGCAGATGTTCCACAGTTTTGTTTTGTTTTTTATTTGTACATTATTTGTTGTCCCTATACTGTATACAATAAATATAGTTTGATACTCAGCCTCTTGAATCACATGTTGGCTTCCATTTGTGCGAAACTGCTGTTAGATGAATACGAGACAGATGTTTTGAAATATTTACATCTTAGATTTAAAGGAACATGAAGTTATTAAATAGGGAGGACCAGCAACGGGAGTGTCGTTCCGTATCCTTGGTTTGATCCGTGGTTTTCATCTCATGAAACCAGACGTGCAAATAAATATTCTGGCCACTAGTTTGTGTTATCATGGGAACTCATGGAAAGTCCTTGACTGCAGATGTGAAGTCCTAGAACGTAATTATAGTCTCCCAGGAAAAGATTTGAGGAGCTTTGTATTGTGCTTAAAATAGCAGCCTGATCCACAGCAGGCAGTATGCTTACCATACATTAGAGGGCACCATTATGCTGAAGATGCTCCGCTGCATCTGCATCGCCATTCGCTCCAGTGGCTGGATTCTCCTGCTCTTTAATTAAAACACAAAGACGCGTTTGTTGCTGGCGAGCCTCCTCTTATTTAGGAGAACTTGATTTCACAGATGTTACTAAATTGAGTGGCCAAGTGAACTCCCCCCTGAGGCTTCCTCGCACAGTGGTCTGATTGTGCTGCCTTCACTTTTGGCACCTCTTTTGCATTTTATATTTCCTCGCGGAGACATCTGAGGTCAGTCATATTTCCGCAGATCTCTCAGAAATGCAGCTGCAAGGTGCCCCCTCCGCCCATACATCCAGACGCCCGCTGGTGTGTAATGCACAGTTGCTTGGAAGGAAACAGCATGTTGGGTTTGGTGAAATGCAGACCTGCTGTACTGCACTGATTAAAGTTTTGAAGAAAAAAAATACAGAAGGGAAAAGATATATTTAAGTCAAATCAGATGTATAGTTGCTGTTGCATAATTGGTTAAACAAGATTTCTGATCTACTGGATGATAAATCCAGGACAGGATGTTACCACAGTCAGTGTTCAAATGTCACGCCAATAAAACCATGTCAGAAACATCCATCCATCATCTAAACACTGCTTAATCCTCACTAGGGTCACAGGGGGGCTGGAGTCCATCCCAGCTGACTCAGGTCACCAGTCTATCACAGGGCTACACTTACAAGCACACTGGCATTCACACCTACGGACAATTTAGAATCACCAACTAACTTCAACATGTTTTTTTGGGAGGAAGCCGGAGAACCCACGCTGCACGGGGAGGACATATAAACTCCACACAGAAAGATCCTGGGTGTCCTCACCGGCAACCTTCTAGCTGTGAGGCAACAGTGCTAACCACCGCTCCACCTTACAGCCCCATGTCAGAAACACAGGAGCATAAATCTGTCTTAAAGCTACAGGGTTAAAAGCACAAAAGGTGTCTGTCAAAGGTGACAAGCCGGAGGAAACGGGACAAACCAAGTAACTCGTCCATGTCAGAGGGCAAACATCACATCAGGGACAAAACAAACTTATCTTAAAGTTACAAGGAACAAAAGGGCAGCTATAAATATCCGACAACCTGACAGGAAATGTGACAAACTCAGTTCCTCATTGATGCCAAAGGGCTCCTCTGTATTTAAAGGTGAGGATCCAGTATGTGGAGGATGTCACCGCCTCTACTACGACTGGCCCACTTCTACTTTATACTCAACATCTTCCTCATACTTTCTGAAAACTGGATCTGAGATTGCTGGAAACGGCACTGAGTAAAAACGAAACAAACGTCCTTTCTACTTATCGTGTATCATAAACTTGAGTAAGCTGCAGAGAAAACACACAAAAACTTTCACTATAACAGCCAAGAGTCCCGTTAACTCCTTCAGAGCTGAGCTGTTGCCATCAGCCGTGTCAGGAACGCTTGTGACTCAGCACACAACCTCATTTGTTTGACTCTGCATTTCACGGAGACACGCTTTGTGTCACTGTGATTGTTTTAATGTTTAGTCATTGTCTTGCTTGGGTCATGTGCTGGCCTGTAGAGTAAGGAGCGTTTATTTATTATTCAAGAGAAGAGGTGGAGTCCAGCTACACAGTCACGTACGAGAAAAAAAGGGGGAATTATTTTCACATTAGAAAAAAAAATACATGTTAGTTTATTTAGGCAGTGATAACTAACACCAGCTACTGTATATGAAAGACATCATTGTGTAATAACTTTAAATCTCTTGGTGAATGAAACATGGCCTAAGTAGTTACAGTTTCATTATATGGTGACTGGTTGTTGCCAATAACTGACAGGCACATGTAAATTACTCTTATTATGTATTACTATGGCCTG